CCTCACAATTTGGGGAACACCTGATGCATGTAATATAGTGGCCAGAAGGCTACTTCAAATTACTTGGGGGGGGCGGAATTGTCGTCTGCAGTAGACTACATATTGTTTGTCAGAGCTAATTACTTTTAATTTACAATTAGGAAAGGGCTAGGTGATATAATCAAATTTAGCCCTAAGGGTAAATTAAAGAATTGGATGCCGGTAATGCATATTAGAATCCCCATTTGATTGTGAAGTTCATTACATAGGTTTGGCTAAAGCCCTCTGTCATTCTTCACAGTTCTGAGGTGATTCCTTCTATGGCTGAACAGCTCTTACTTTCAGGACATTCTTCCTAATATTTAATTAGAAGCTCTTCATCTCCCCTCAAAAAAGTCATCAAAAATGTTGATTTTAGTTTTTCTATTAATTGAATCACTTGCCATTCCCTCCTGATCTAGCAGCTCAGCCTGCTACTTTGCTACTTTGCAAGCCTTTTGTCTATTTTCCAAACACAGCCATCCTACAGAGACATCATTTTCTGAAGGACAGTTATGTCTGTAAGTTAAAAGTCATACTTCAGAATGGACAAGCAGATGAAAATGCTACTGTGTGCCAATTAGAATTTCTGTTTCTCCCCCCCCCAAGAGGGAAAAATAAAATATAATGAGTGTACATGTGCGGCTTTTCCAGTAAATAGGAATCGTGGTGGTTTTATTAGATAACAATTATGTATAATATTCAGAAGCCTCATACAAGAAAAACGAAACAAAACGTTAAAGCTACAATCAATGGCAATTTATGAAACACACTATGGGACTAAATTTCTTTCTACTGTATGCTGTAGGTTAATGTTTTCCAAATGAGGGCCCATTGAGATTTTCATTGCATGGGTTATCAGTCTGCTACCATGAGGCGTGAAAAACTAAAACAATATCCTTGACGTCCCACAGCTTTAGACTTGCCCTTGACTCAGAGTCCTGAACTAGCCCACGGAGGCAACCAGTAAACACCTGTGATCAACAGCATGCCTTCAGCTTATGAGTTTCCATTGGTCTTTTTCTCACTTCCTTCACCATGCATATCCAAAACAGACATCTCATGGCATACGGAACTTCCCTTTGTATAGTGAATCTATATAACTCACTAGGTTTGGCATCAATTTACTTTCACTTAATGGTTTAGATAAATATAAAACTTCTGTCTCTTCTCAAGACTCTTGGCTGTTGTCAAGATGGTAGCTGCTAAAAAATTCCAATACTTAGCAAGACATACACTGTACTGTAAACAAACAAACAAATAGTTATGTCCCTGTTGGATGGCTATATTTGGAGAAGAATTTGCGAAATGGCTGGAGGGGAACAAACTAAGAAGAAGAGCCCTGCTGGATCAGACCAAGGGCCCATCTAGTCCAGCTCCCTGTATCTCACAGTGACCCCACCAGATGCCTCTGGGCGCACATGACACCACTAGATCCCTGTCTCCTGATCCCACTCCCCTGCATCTGGCATTCTGAAGTACCTTTCTTTTAAACCTGGATATTATACATCCCCATCATAGCTTGTAACCTATGATGGACTTTTCCTCCAGGAATCTGTCCAATCCCCTTTTAAAGATATCTAGGCTAGATGCCATCACCATATCCTGTGGCAAACTTATATTCAATATGAGAAATAGATGATAACTTCTTGTTTGTTTGTTTGTTATTATATTTTTATGCTGTGTCATCTAGTGGCTTTGCTACTGCTCTAGGTGGTTTCCAGCAATAGAGTAAACATGAAGAAAACAGTCATATCCAACCCACAAATATAAAAATATAATATAAGGGGAAATAAAACAACATACTTAAAAACCCAAGATGGCAGCAACGGACAAGATACAGACTACCAAATATAATGGTCAGAATAAAATGAAATGACCAGGAGTTATAAGGGAAAGAGATCCTGAAATGCCTCCCTGAAGAGTAGAGTTTTTATACGCCTTCTGAATATTAGGAGGGAAGGGGGCCCGGCACACCATCACATACAAAGCACTCCACGAAGAGGTGGCCACCACAGAGAAGGCCTGGCTCCCAATCATAGACATGCTGGTCACCTGCAGTATTAATGCCTGGGACGTCTGAAGGGCATGGGAAATTGATCTTTGGAAGAGGCGTTCTGATAGGTAGCGAGGTCCCAAACTATTCAGGGTTTTATAGTTCAACATTAATACTGTACCTTGAATTTGGCATGGAAGCAAACTGGTAAGTACCTTTAATAGATAGGTGAATACCGTTTGCTGTTTACTGGAGTTCACTTTGTAATGGCATAGCTAAACACTTGATTTTGTAACACAGTCCAAGTTTTTTCCATTTATATTTATACTAACAAAGACTTTATTTCAGATTTCTCTCTTTTATGCTGCAAATGCTTCTCCAAGATGTTTATTAATTTAATTGGGTCAGCTTGACCCTTGCTTTGTCAGAGGAGGCTTGATGTCCATTTTTGTTTGCTTCAGCACTTGAGCCAGCTTTAAAGGCACTGCTCAGCTGCCAGCAAAATCTCAGCCAATTCATGGAATGCCCTATGAAGACGTATCATCCTCAAGAGCCTGGATCCCTTCCTTTTTCTTTCCCTTGTGTACACACCACGGGCACACCAGCTGTATAGTTTGGCAGGTTGTATGTTTTATGTCTGATTCTTCAAACACAACAGTTTTCATGAGCTTTCATAGATTACAACTCACTTCCTCAGACACATCTGGGCAAGTAGACCGTAACCCACAACAGCTCACACACAGAGAGAAAAAAAGATTTTTAAGGTGCTGTAATACTTCTGTTTTTTTTCCTTCCATTTTCATTATATACACAGAAACCAACTACCATTTTTGAAAATGTGCACTTTGTTTTTGGAGCCTTGAGATTGCACCTCTCTACACATTTTCTGACAAGTAAGTAAGATTCCCAGTGTGCTGTAGAGTGATGGACTAGGACTCTAAAGATTCCTACTCAGCCATGGAAATTCACTGGGGGAGTGGAACTGGTAAAACTGCTCCTTAAATATCTATCTCCCTTACCTTGACAGTCCTATTGAGTGTGTTCTAAAAGCCCTATTAGTGTCGCTATAAGTCTGTTCCGACTTCACAGCACAGAACACACACACACAAGTAGTATTGAATCCACTGGAGTTTACTTCTGAATGGCCAAATAGAGGGTTGCAGTGTAACACGCCCAGTATTTTAGGATTACAAAAGTCAGAACACCCTTCTTTTGCTTACATGAGATATGATTTCAGAAGAATGACAAAAGACAGCAGAACAGCAGTATCCCCTCAAGAAACAGTGAAGCAGATACGAAGCTATCTATTATGGTTTCAGCTTATTTCTCAGTTCTGAAATAAAGAAGGAAGTTCTATGTGATTATAGTGGCAGAATTAACATTTTAGCCACCTGCAAACATCCTTCTTTTTCTCTTCCTCTCTTCTCCTCTTTTGCTATTGTTAACTGTCATTTGCATACAAAAGTTAAACTTCCTAAAAGTATTGCACAAAAAAACCAACAACCCATGTACAACATAGCACTTTTAGATAAATAATTTCCTATGTCTATCTGTGAAATAAAGACTATTTGCTGATTATCTGGTATAGTGAAGGTTGGAGCTTTGCCTGATGGAAGGCAGAAGCAAAGGTAAGTACCAAAGGTTGAAATTTCCTGGATTAAAAGCCTGTTTTTACATCCCTGAAGAAAGGCAGGTATTGGTTTCTCCCTGCTTAGGAGGACTGAATTTTCTCTCTAGGTGGCAGGGCGCTGAATACTTCCTATTCATTGTGAAGGGAAGGTCACAGTGCCTTTGTGTAAGGAGGAGAGTACACTGACAGCAGAGGGTTTTCAGAAGGAAAGAATACTCAAACGGGAAGCAAGAAAGACACTCCATGGTGTGCAGATACAATAGAATGAGGACTACCAGGGAGTGATGTCTGTACTTTGAGGGAGAACAGAAACAGTCTTAAAACGGATGGATCTTTTGAACAGTGTGGTAGAGACCGGGATGTGGGGACACAACCACGCACCATGATGTGGCAAATAATTTTATTGAGATAATATGCTGAAGAAAACAGAAAAGGAAAGAGATCAATAGGATAATGAAGACTGGGTGCCAGCTTCTGCATTGTAACAGCCTAAATGCATAGCCTCCATACGTGGGAAAAAGCTGATGGAGATGCATATCTCCATATTTCCATTTATTGGTGTGAGGTATGTGGTCCGTGAATTAAATGATGGACAAGCCTAAGCTGAAAAGATCCTGACATAAAAATGCAAGAAGTATATCTCCAAGTCTATGCCACATGACCCCCCTTCATAAATAACTGACACACTGCAAAAATCCCCACAAACCCTTCTTTTCCTAATAGTACATTTGATATGTACCCTATGGAAGAAAGAGGATAAAAGCACATTTGATGCACAGAAGAGTTATGGGCAGCCCTGTCTGAGGACAGCACACTGGAGAGAGCACAGTAACAATATGAGGTTGCCAGCAATTTCCAACTGCTGCATGGAAGCAAGAGAAGGTGAGAAGACAATAAAGAGCCAGTGCAGTGCTAAGGAGTTTAAGTCTATGCCACATGAGAGTCAAATGAGGGTGATGAGAGTCAAATGAGTTTTCCTTTATGAGGAGAAACCTTCAAAGAGAACACCAACGTGCGGACATGGAGAGGTCACTGGCTCTGAAGGTGGAAGGCAGGCGGAGTTGTGTGGCTGTAACTTGAAAGAAGTGGGGTGTGGACCGGGAAGGAAGGAAGGAAGGAAGGAGACAAAATGAAAGAAGGAAGGCGAAAAAGAAGGAAGGAAGGGAAAAGAGAGGGAAGGAGAGAGTGCTGTAATCATGGACTGGAGAAATCACGGGGGGGGATCTGCGTGGAGATCCTGAGAGTAAGAGCGGGGCGACCTGTGTGGCAAAGGGCAGGCGTGGGCGCAGAAGGAAGTCCACCGGACGGTGGTGGGAAGCACGGAGGAGACCGCCACCCGCCTCCTCGCCCCCTTACCTCTTTCCACCAGGTTGTCGAGGTGGCTGTCGACACCCAGCAAGTAGCATTTCCTCCAGAGGCCGGCGTAGGTGGCGAAGAGCGGCCGCCCGCACGGGGACTGCAGGAGCCCCAAGAGGGCTCGCCCGCCCGCCGCCGCCTCCTCCTCCTCCTCCAGCAGCAGCAGCAGGTCCCCGCGGGGGGCGGCGG